GTGCATGGTGCCTGGTTGATTTCTGATTGGTGCAGTAAGGAAGATGACTTGTCCTTTTTTGCACCTGTTCTCATTCATTCTTTTGGACAGGGCCCCCCTTCACCTATATATTATATTTGTGAAAACACTTCACTGGTGGGGCGGAGCAGAGTTCTGCCGTTCGGACTGCAGGGACCGTCAGGGATCGGAGGACGAGTGGTTGTGACCAGGAAGAGTCCCACTTTCCAGAAGCGAACAGGGAGACCCCAAACGAGAGAGATTCCATAGATCTGCTTAACATCTATGAACTAGTCCATCCAATTTGCTGTAATGATCTGTAATATCTATTATCTGAATACACCCAAAACTATAGATCTGTCCAAGTCTCATCAATTTGCTGTATTTGGATTGCTGTATCTTGAGCACACCGAAGAGGAGAGGGTTTTTAGAGGTCGATCCGAGTTGCATCGAAGCTCCGTCAGTGTAGCAGACATCGTTTGGGGGCGCCGTTGAGAACCTCGGAGGCTGACAGGGGTCGTAATTGATGGCCTGCCTGTGTCATTTAGTGTCAAAATGAATGGTTTGGGATCTTTTTGAAGAATCACTAGACTATTGTATTTAATTTAGGATTGCCATTTCCTTAGCAAACAGGGATGGCGGCCTGCGCCAGCCTTCAGGCTTCAGCATTGCATGCAGGTTGCCAGGTTGCCAGGCTGGTCGATGATGATCGCCAGGCTGATCACACAGGCCATTTGGTCAGACCTTTTGGAGTTTTTTGTCAATGTTTTTCCTTTTTCCTTTGACTGAAGCTGTTATAGCCTGTAAACACCATGAATCTTCATCCAGAGTTTCAACCAGGGAGTTGCCTTCTCAGCCCAGCGAGCTTTTCACACGTTCTTCTCAGCTGAGGTGGGACAGCACTTCTCCGTTCCGAACAGCACGTCTCTTCGCGCCCCTTTCGCGCCGACCGCCGGCGTCGAGCTGGGTCGACCGACCTCCGCTGATCACCAGCTGAGCGGCGGGAGACGACGAGCGGCCGAAAGCGGCCGAAAGCGGCCGCTTCGTCCGGAGTCCGGGAGTCCCGCACTTCACCGGAACGATGGAAAACCAAAGCGCAGCAAGCAACTGCGACTCCGGTCTGTGCGACTCGTTCGGGTGCCGGGCGAAGGAGTTGAAGGAAGGAGTTGGCCGTCACATCACATCCACAGGCTGGGACGAAGGAAAGCCCAGACCCAACGACTCCTGAAGGCTCCCAGACCGTCTTTTTGGAGGTAGACCGGGTGCCGGGTCGCCACCAGGGGTTCCCCCAGGGACGTAGGAAGGTCGGAAGGAGCACCGAACGGCGTCGGGATTTCTGCGCTGGGACCTTGGGGAAGACATTTTTGGTTTTCCACCATGGGTTGCCTGGTCCCACTAGGTGTGGCAGTGTAGGGTGAAGCTGGGAGCTTGTTTGGAGAATCCGTTTGGTTTAGACAGGCAGGCCGCAGGCCAGTTAATGCCAAAAGAACTGGCTGCAGCAAACAGGTTGCCTCGACGTGCGTCGTTGCACCTTGCTCGTCCGAACGGGCTCAGACGTCCTCACGCATTCGGCCGCGATGGGTGAAAACACATGGCAGCAAGAACCCCCAAAACATATGATCACTAAGCAGCTTTGACCGCCAACAACCCGTGCCTCTTGGCTTTTCCTTCAGCTCGCAACCAACTCACTGCCTCTTCAGAAAAAGAGGCCGTCTCGGAAATGCCTCTGATGGCGCTGCTTCGATGCTGGCTGTTGATCTCTGCAGTTGGTGGATCTCACCTCTCCACCCAAGCAGATCTGCGAGATGCGCTGCTCCAGCGCCTTGACGCAGCGCGTTCGAAGCTCCGCGCTGCGCGCCGACGCGCGTTCGGAGCTCGCGCCGAGTTCATGCGCTTTGGGATGGACTGCCTCGGGTTTACGCTCAGAAGTCTGGCTTTTTTCATGTTTTTTCCCGAATGCGTAGCGAAGGGTTCCCGTTTATAGTTGGGGGTCTGGGGGTTGGAGCTGTGTTCGCGTGGCGTGCGGTGTCGTCGTCTGTCGTCGTTTGTCGTCGTCTGTCGTCGTCGTCGCGTCTCAAATTTGCTGCCATTGGGGGAAGCTTTTGCAAGTGACTTTTCATGGAGGTGTCACGTGTCAGTTTCCACCGCTATTCCATTGTGATTTGCATGACAATGACACGTCGCGCAAGAAACGTGATGCATTTCGCTGCACAGGCGCAGCGTTTTGTGAGGTCCGCAGGTTTCTGCGCAGTTCCATTGGGATTAGCGTTTGGAGAGTCGTGTTTTTGGGGTGTTGGATGTGGCCGTGCCATTGGGATTTGCGTTTCAGGGTGTGGCATCGAAGCTCTGTTTTCGTGACAAGTCTCAGCTGAAGTGGCGATTTTGGTGGATGGGAGTGTGCTCAGAACGGATCGAAATCATTCCAAACGTGTGGTGTGGTGCAAATTTTGTTGAAGCTCACATGAGATGATATTGTCACTTTTCGTGGCAGGCGCAGGACTTCGTGCGGGTTTTGAGGCGTGGAAGTGCGATTCTCGTGGCAGGCGCAGGGAATCGTGAGGTTGCGAGGTGTGAGGGAGGTGAAATCTCGTGGCAGGCGCAGGACTTTGTGCACGTTAGACGTGTGGATGGGGAAAGATTCGTGGCAGGCGCAGGGAATCGTGAGGTTGTGAGTTGTGGTGGAGGTGAACGTCGCTGTCACATTGGGATTGGCGTGTGAGCGGGTGTTGTTTGGAGGAGCTGGAATCGCGAAACTGCTTGGCAGGGCTGCGTGATGTGTGTGCTCCGATGGGTGTTTCCGCTTGACTTTTGGAGGAAGTCTCGTACGAAACGCTTGTTTTGGAGACTTGACGTGTGACTTTTTGAGGAAGTCTCGTACGAAACGCTCGTTTTGGAGACTTTTGGAGGAAGTCTCGTACGAAATGCTCTTTTTGGAGACTTGACGTGTGAGTTTTTGAGGAAGTCTCGTACGAAACGATCGTTTTGGAGACTTGACGTGTGAGTTTTTGAGGACGTCTCGTACGAAATGCTCTTTTTGGAGACTTGACGTGTGAGCTGGAAGCTGAGAACTGGCGACTTTGTAGTACAACTTTAGTACAAGAGTGTCCCACAAGAGTGTCTCACAAGAGTGTCCCACAAGGGTGTCCTACAAGAGTGTCCTACAAGAGCGTCCCACAAGAGTGTCCTACAAGAAAGAGTGTCCCACAAGAGTGTTCACAAGAGTGTCCTACAAGATTGTCACACAAGAGTGTCCTACAAGAGTGTCCTACAAGAGTGTCACACAAGAGTGTCCGACAAGAGTGTCCTACAAGAGTGTCCCAGAAGAGTGTCCCACAAGAGTGTCCTACAAGAGTGTCCCACAAGAGTTTCCTGCAAGATTGTCCTATAAGAGTGTCCCATAAGAGTGTCCTACAAGAGTGTCCCACAAGAGTGTCACACAAGAGTGTCCTACAAGAGTGTCCTACAAGAGTGTCACACAAGAGTGTCCTACAAGAGTGTCCCACAAGAGTGTCCTACAAGAGTGTCACAAAAGAGTGTCCTACAAGAGTGTCCCAGAAGAGTGTCCCACAAGAGTGTCCTACAAGAGTGTCCCACAAGAGTTTCCTACAAAATTTTCCTATAAGAGTGTCCCACAAGAGTGTCTCACAAGAGTGTCCTACAAGAGTGTCCTACAAGAGTGTCCCACAAGAGTGTCACACAAGAGTGTCCTACAAGAGTGTCCGACAAGAGTGTCCCACAAGAGTGTCCCACAAGAGTGTCTCACAAGAGTAGTGTCCCACAAGAGTGTCCTACAAGAGTGTCCCACAAGAGTGTCCTACAAGAGTGTCCCGCAAGAGTGTTCACAAGAGTGTCGTAAAAGAGTGTCCCACAAGAGTGTCCTACAAGAGTGTCCCACAAGAG